TGATTATCAAGTGAGCAGAGAGAAATGCATTAGCCATAATTCATTATTATTCGCTTTATTGTTGTTCTATAAAACCGTAGTTTTGACAATAATGTTTGAAGGAGTCGTTATCTGGTGGAGGGCTTTCGGAAAAGCCACATTAGCTAAGGAGCTGGAGCGTGTTCATAGAGCCGTCCTCAAGGGCATCTGTGGTGCACTAAGGACAACCCCAACAATGGTACTCAATGTCATTTCACATACAGAAATTTTCCACCACTGCTTCGATTACATTCCTTCTCTGCTGTGAAGGATATGTGGGTGCGACGATACCGTTGGGAGTTGAGAGGGATATGAAGTGGTGGAGTCGTCTGTCTGGATAAAATACTACTTTAGCGACTTATAACCGGAGGTGGTTGCCATCAAGGTAGCAGTATATGTATAGTAGTGCTCAAAAGTGTAGCTTCCTTCAGAGAAATGTGCATGCACTCCGATAGCCGGGCGGCTATACTGGCTTTGAGCTCTCCAACTGGGGTCACAGCGGAATCGCCGAGCGCTGTGCAGGGCAGCCTTAACCCAATTTCATACGATTTGAAGCTGGTCGGTATTCTAATGTGTTCTGTGTTTTGGTGTTGAATTTATTGGACCTTTTGTTAGCTCAACAAGCGTTGGTTCACAACCAGAACATGAGCGACTGCGTGGTTCGTTTGGCTCAGAGTGAACTGTAAGAGAACCTCCGAACTACTGACTCTTAGCAAAGTCAATCCCGTCGATATTGTACGTGTTTTGACTGGATGTTGTCCAAAAGGCTCACAAGCGCTTCGGAGAAACCCAGGCATACATACCTTTGACAATCCCAGAAAAGCTGCTCGGATCGATTTTTACCGCCTTAATGAATTTGTGGTAAGCTCAAAACGCTTCGGCGATATATAAGGAATTGTTAATTTTAGGAATTTATGGGTGGCACAAAGCACAAATATCTGTCCAAATGCGATCTATCGACTTTAAGTCAACTCTACGATCTAACCTTATCAAATCTTGATCGCATTTTGAAAATTATACATATAGTATGTTATGTTCCTATTTTTCGACCGATGTCACAATACTACATATGAATCTGCAAAGTAACCAAAATACGCGCTGGTTTCCATCTTAACCTCCTCATTTATGTAAAATATTTTCCAGAGTGCCGCTGTCTTAATTTTGAAAAGTGGGAAGAGTTGCCGAGGACAAATCTGGCGAATGTAGTGGGATTGAATTAAATCATGAGACGCCTTTGAGACACCAATGATTTTAGCTAGCAATATAGGATAGAAAGCTATTCAAAACGCTTTTCAACCAAATATAATTATATTTGATTGAATTTTTGTGGTTCTTGGCTCTAGAATATACATGTATGGACGTAGTTCAGCGAATTAAGAGACAGGTGCTACGGGTTCATTGCTGCAATGTGCAATCTGGTGCTTAGTAGCTGGTTACATGACAGAAAAAAAAATCTAAATTATAGCAAATTTGGTTTTGAGAATATTATTTAACATAAAGTGGTTTTGAAAAAATAATCAAAATTATAACAAATTCAGTCTTACCACTGTTTGTTTACAAAAAATGGTTTTGATAAAAAAATCAAAGTTATAGCAAATTTGCTGGTTTCCTGAAGAGGTTCAAACGAGGATACGCTGAAATTCTCTCCTCCTTCAACAGCATCCCTAAAAACTTGAATCAAGGGAATTTGAAGGGAAGGTTGGATGGAGAGTTTTCTGTAAGGAGCTCTCCGCCAAGCTTAGCTTTAAGCTGCCGTACCAATGTAATATTTTTCAAGCAGAAGTCGTTGCTTTTAAGAAAGCATGTAGACGTACATCTACAAAGTATTCACTCCGAGAGCAAAGCGGCTGACCTCGCTAATTGTGCGATCAAATTTAGTTAAGGAGTATCCTCACTACAAACAGCATCAATGTGTATGTCGATCTTTATTTGCAGGACTTTTCCAAGACTTGGTACACGGTGAAAATCTGCTCGATTGTGGATTTTCCAGGTCTAAAGCTACACGGATAAGGTCCAATCAGTTTGTTGACGGCGGGCTTCAGTCTTTCTCCTCCTCCTTTTTTGGATTGGGCAGAGCACACTTAAATTCCAATCGCCGGGCATGCTTTCATCCGACCATTTTCTACAAAGAAGCTGCTTCATGCTTCTTATCAGTTCTTCACCGCCGTATTTGAAAAGCTCGGCTGGTAATCTAGCGGCCCGCGCATTTTTGTTGTCTTTCAGACGGGTAATTGCTGTATGAACTTCTTCATTATCTTCAGGCATTAATTAGTAATAAAAAATTGCTTTCAATATATTCCCATTAATGCATTTACTAGTTTCTTTATTTTATTAAATAATAATTCAATAATACATTTATTAATATTTAATATTATGTTCTAAAAATAATTTTCCGTTTTACAGATTTGCACAGAAAAAAAAAAAATATTCTACAAAATTGTAGCATAGTGTATGTAAGTATATTTATAATATGTTATATATTAGTATATGCTTTCATATTTCACATGATGAATATGAATCTGTCTGAAGGTAAAACACTTAATTTACTGCTATGTAAATAGTAAGTACACTTTTGATAGCACACATATACACTTATGCAGGTGCATATGTATATGTCTGTATGCCTACATTATAAAATTTCCACGCGCAACAAATTGTTGCACATACATACATGTATATTTAACGGAAATTAAAAACACTACTAATTTACTACGAATGTTGGCCTAAGACTAAGTCACATAACTAATTTTAATTAAAAATTTGTAAATTTGATTTATATATGTATGCGTTAAAACCAAGCGTGGCATATGCGGAGATGTTCATATAACATAACTGTATGTATGTAGTTGACTCTTTGTAATTACTATGACTCAATTTGTGACCTACAAATTCTATTATTTTTTGTTTGCAACTTTTATTTGGTGCGAAAGTTTCATGACTAAGAAGTGCTTGTGCTAAGAGCTTGGCTTAAACTTATTATGCAGTAAACAAAAACAAAAAATTATTTCAAATGTAACTGTTAAAAATATATGTATGTGTTTATGGTTAACATTTGTGCTATGATTACATTGATCCACGAAGAAAAGCGCTCCTGATCACGCCATGGCTACTAAGAAGTTGTGTTGTAATGTGGCAACGTTATTATATGTACCGTTATTTTATTAGCGAGTGGCAAAAGAATGCTCGCTAAAGTAAGAAAGTGTTTGTTGAAGTATAAAAGTAATTTTAATCATTCGTTTTCTGTGCTAAATTTCCAAAAATACTCTAAACTTACTGCTTCTTTGCCTTTAGTGGAATTTTATGCGAGTTGTGTGTTCGACTACCAACGCTTACGAAAACTGGTCTTGCGTTTACTTTTCTATAAATGATAAGAGCTGGAGCAATCGCGCCATTGCTTGGAATTTGCGCAGGTCGCTAACAGTGGTATGTAATTGAATTGAATAACAAAGGAAATTATAGCCAGAGAATTCAGTCTGGTCAAAAAAAGAAACAAAAAAAATACTAACAAGTGACATCAATGAGAAATTTATAGACATTTCACAAATAGAGAACCAAATTTCTGCATCTATTTCAACAATTTGGCGTGCGGTGAAACGAAATCTTAACATTGTACGCGCCACTCTTTAAACTACATCATAAAGTCTCTCTCATACACCATAAGTCCCTTGTTTCTGTTTTGTCCGAAATCACATGAATAAAGAAACTGGTTTCAAGTTTAAGAAAACTAAAATTTTGAATAACGCGAATGCGACAAAGTAGACAATGCGTTTAAAAAAAATTTACATAGGTGATTTTCTTCGATGAGAAAAAGTTCAACCTCGATGGTCCACACGGCTTTTTGGCATAATGAAGAGATTTACGAACAAAGCCGCGATTTTTTTTAAAGCGCAATTTCGGTGAAGAATCACTTATGGTATGGGGCGCATTTTCAAATTCTGCGACATTCCCGTCTTTCCAAATGCATAGTTCCGAACTTCAGGTAGTATTAGAAGCAAATACGCAATCCTATATGTAAGACACTTGTAATAATCTTGAAAAATCTTTCACTTTTCAACAAGACAACGCAAGAATTCATACGAGCAGGTCAACGAAAACGTGAATTCAACGTAAAAATATCGATCTTTTGGAATGGTTAACATGTCTTGATGTAATTCCTATTTTGGATATATGGACTTTATTAACCCCAGAAAAGATTCTTATTACACCTACTCAATGCCAAATTGAACATCGCACTTTTTAATAACAATGGAAACACATAAAAAAAATGGAAAAAAGAGAAATTTGTTTCGTTCCTTTTTTTTCGTAGTGAAAGGGTTTTCTTTATAGCAATGAAACAAAGTGTAGCGCTTTTCCAAAAAGTATTTTTGTCTAATTTTTTCCAAAGCTCTTCAAAAAACTTTTAAGAAATTAATTTTTAAGCGGCGAAATGAAATTTTTTAACGAAATGGCGCGTTCTTTTGAGCTATTATTGCGCTATTCATCATGTTTTGGACGTCAGTCAAAACTAAGTAACAGTAAAAATTCAACAAGTGTGCTGTGGCAACATTTTGAATTTTTTTGTTTAATTTAAAACCAGCTATTTGTTAACAAAAAGTGGTTTTGAAAAAAAAAAAATTATAGCAAATTTGGTTTTGAGAATATTTGTTAACAAAAAGTGGTTTTGAAAAAAAACCAAAATTATAACAAATTTGGTTTTGAGAATATTATTTAACAAAAAATGGTTTTGAAAAAGTAATCAAAATTATAGCAAATTTTGTCTTGAGGCTATTTGTTTACAAAAACTGGGTCTGAAAAAAAATATAAAAATTATAGCAATTCCGGTCTAAGCGCTATTTGTTTAAAAAAAAATCGTTTTGAAAAAAAATCAAAATTATAGCAAATTCGGTCTAAGCACTATTTGTTTAAAAAAATCGTTTTGAGAAAAAATCAAAATTATACCAAATTTTGTCTTGAGACTATTTTTTTTACAGAAAGTTGTTTTGAAGAAATAAAACAAAATTATAACAACTTTTGTCTTATATTATCTTAGCTATAGTGTTGAATTTTCTTTAAATATGTGCTAGCTCCTTGGTTAACCGCAGGGCGAATTTTTTTTCTTCTTGCCACGAGGCATTGAGAAATTGATGAATCTTTGTTTCAGCACTGTTAATAATATAATTTTAAATTTGCAAAAAATCACTTTTGAAACAAAAAATATCTTTTACAACAAATCTTACTAAATGAGGTTGTATTTATGGTACATTTAATTACAAGAACAATTTTTGCTTTGTAATTATGGACTTTTGTAAATATAAATACATATACTAGGTATAACAATTGTTGCTGCATATTTTGTATAGTTACAGTTTACATACAAAAACAAAAACAACATTTTAGTTTGCCTTTATTTTGCTTTTTAATTTATCCCTAAACAATTCAGCAAATTTGTTTGAATGTAACCATGCTACAGAAAAGCTACTTCCCTAACAGTTTTTGCCTGCTTTGTTTTAGTTTAAGCTCTTTCTTTGGTCTTTATATATTTATATATATGCAATAAAATGTATATATGTATGTATGTGTGCTTTTAAGCACTTTGACTTGAACTTTTATTTTCACTATGAAAATTTGGGGCCTTTGGTTTATTTGTCGCTGCAGGCTATACTCTTTATCATCTACTATTTCCGCTTCAACGTCTCATTTATCATCCGCATTGTCACACATTAGCTGCCGGCGACTATGCTTTAGCTGCTTCAATATGGCTTAGCTGCATCCTTAGAGCGCTTTAGTTGTACTTTCAAGCGTTTGGTGCCGATTTGGAAACCGTGCATTGCCTGTATGGCCGCGCCCGCCGACAGCGGATTATCGTAGGACACAAAACCGAAACATTTGGACAGATTAGTTTGCTTGTCGATGAACACTTTGGCGGACAGCACATTGCCGAATGGTAGAAATGTGGATGCGAGATCAGTGTCGGTGAATTCCTGAGGTAGATGGTAAATGAAAAGATTACTGCCATCCGGTCCTGCAGCGAGGTGAACAGAGATATTTGTGTAAGTGCGGGTTTACTTCAAAATATTTTTTGTAAAATTAATTTACTATAAAATTAATATTATTTTAGTTATAAATTAATTTCAACTCACCTTCGACTTGTTTCCCAGCGACTCCTGCTGCCGCAGCCTGCAGTGCAGTGGTGGTTAGCGGTGTAGCAGTTGTTGCAAAGGCGGCACCATTAGTTAAGGGGCTTAGTGTCGGTGCATAGGGTGAGGTAAGGCTTTCTCCACCGGGCCCTAAATAAAATTTTTAGCATAATAAAAAATAAAAAAATATTACTTAAATGCTTGGGAAATACAAAATTTAAATATTTTCATAATTTTTGCGCTGAAAATACATTTTTTGTTCGGTTTGTATACACGAGCTCACTGATTTCGCAACATATCATCCACAAATGTCTGAGAAATGTTTGAGAAATATCAGAGCTACACAAATTCAGGGTACATACAGACATACATAGCTATGTAAAGACATTAACATACACACGTATACATAGACGTACATATAGGAGTTGACTACAACAACCTGCGCAATAAAAGTAGGGAAACATGCATTGGGGGCGAGACATAATTTTCTTGCTGCGTGCGCATATTTTAATATACCTGCTTAGGCGCCTACATATCGACACCCAAAATGCAGAATAACATAACCTCATATTTATATTTCCATATGCATTTACAGGTGGAGATGAAACGGAAAAACAGAATGTACCTTTCGGTTATTAAATGGTTATATATTGGTTATTTATTGGTAATATATTGGTTACTTATTGCTTATTTATTGGTTATACTGACGGCGGTTGCTGATGATTTTACGCTACATTTACGTAATATGATGGTTTAAATTGGAAGCAATAAATGTAAGTTCAAATTCTATTTTTTGATAATACTATGTGTTGTTCTGCCTTTTGGGTGCCGATATATACTATACTTTTATTGAAACTAACCATTTTTTAATGTTCGCTGCTTTATATCGACCTGCAGTCTTGTTTTGTGGGCGTTAATATTGAATACGGTTGACAACAGCAGGTTCAGCCTTTTTGTTGTATGTGAAAAACAATATTCTTATTTTCTTTTAAAATAAATCTACCTAAAGTTTGTAATTCTTTGCTTTGTGTTAGGCAGAATATTTGTTAAAATTTTCTATACCGTCTGCTTTTTCTTTGTGGTTCTACTGAATAACCATACCTGTACTGCCGTGTGGTTGACATTCCTTTCAAAAACATATTATATAAAATAACCTCAATCGTTAGAAATGAACTGTATCCATTGACATTTTTAGGCACTTAATATAGAAACTTTTATATTCTTAAAGATTTAAGCAAAAAAAAAAAAAAAAAAAAAAAAAAAAAAAAAAAAAAAAAAAAAAAAAAAAAAAAAAAAAAAAAAAACAGAGATCAGGGAGAGTGGTCTCTTTAACGTGCAGAGAGAGAGAGTGAGGGCACTATGGCTTGAAGTTGACTCCTGTAGTCAAGAATGGAAAATAATTGGTATTCCAAAAGATTTATATTATAATATACTAAACTAATTTCGTATTTTGAAATTATCACAATTTCGGAATTTCTCGTAAGAATGTGAAGATTTTCGGCTTTAGAGAACTCAACTCATTAATAAAAATTGCAGAAGATAAGAATTTTTGGTTTTAGAGATATCTACTCATTAAAGAAATTCCTGAAGAGTCTGGAAGATTTTGTTCTCTAGAAAGCTGATATAATTAATTAAAATTGCTGAAAGCGAAAATTCTGTTCTCTAGAGAACTGAATTCATTGATTAAAATAGCTGAAGGGGAAGATTTTGGGTTTTGGAGATATGAACTCATTAATAAAAATTCCTGAAGAAAAAATGGGCCTTACAGAGCTCAACTATTTAATAAAAATTTCTGAAGGAAAATATTTTGAGCTTTAGGAAACTCAACTCATTTAAAAAAAATTCTTAAACGAAAAAAATTTGAGCTTTAGAGATCTGAACTCATTGTTAATCATTTCTGACTGCTGTTTTTCAATTCCGATACTTGATTATTACATACACATATTACCATTGGCTTGAACATATACAAAAAATCAACTAATTCGTCTGTTTCTATGAGACCCTCTAAATACTAACATATCCCTAAAGGTTTCAATACATTTTTGTGTGTAGCAAACAGCACCCTTTGAAGCTCTGCTTAACGGTTTTAGTTATAATTAATATTTTAATATTTGCTTACATTTGTATACCATTTAATCGCCTCAATTCTACTCATCTAACCTTTCTTTCCTTATGATCCGATCTAGTCGAAACTTTTCGTCTTAAATAACTATCTCAATTCGAAGACTAACTATTATATATTCCAGTCAGATTACAGTTATAATATCACATTTTCGGCGCTGCCTTGTTTAGTCAGACCCAAACCAAAATCACATGATTAATATAGTAATTTTACCTATAGTTATACGGATCGTTGGTACTTTTTAAAGACGTAGATTATAATTAGAAGATTTCACTAAAAGAAACCTTGTTGCCATTGTTGTTATTATAGTGGTTTAAAATCTTACCGTATAGTTGAAATATGTTTCGAAACTAGTGCCAAGTTACCAGACCTTGACTAATTGTTTTTAGAAGCTATTTGAGAATTTTCTAAACTGAGAACTTATAAATCAGAATACTTTTAAAATAAGGCGTTGTTGTTATACGTGGTGAACAGAGTCCAAATATATATAAAATAGTGTTGAAGTCAACCGGATCCTAATCAGAATTGTTGATATATAAAATGAAAGCTATTATGGGATATGAAGACCAAGTGGGGAAATATGGATATATCTTACGTTCCTAATTGTGCTCTCGCAACAAATTACACAGAGCATATTAGGTAGAGTTTTTATTTGCATTTCGGTTGACAAACCTTACAACTAATCAAATGATAATAATTTTAGTTATCACTGCCATTTCATGATTATATGAGTTAGGTGCTTGGGAAATATTTATGATTTCGTGATTTTCAACTTCCAAATATACTTCTAAGCGGTACTACTTTGGTCCTGATAACTCTAATTGTTTTAGTGGCAATCTCTCAATAAGTTTTTTTTTTTATGTATATTATCGGCGTTACTACGTGGACCTTACTTTGTAAACAAATAATATCATATGTGCCCACAACTAGTTGGAGACGTTTATTACATATTTGATTATAATACTGTTATTGCTTTTATTATTTGGTTGTATGAACGTTATTACACATTTTAAGACATGCAAATGTGCAAAACTCAAGCAAGAACAAACAAAAACTAAATTTTCTATAAGATGCAGTGTTAATGAGGAACCCAAATAATAATTTTTCAACTAAATATTACATGCGGTGCATAACTAGGAAACGTTAACAACATTCACGAGTATGAGACGGGAAAGTCATAAAAGCTAAACTCGAACTAAAGCAAGGTTGAGTTGTTATCAAAAGTTGAGTTGTTGTCAAAGTTGAGTTGTTTTCAAAGTTGAATTGTTTTCTAAATTGAGTTGTTGTCAAAGTTGAACTGTTTCTAAATTGAGTTGTTGTCAAAGTTGAGTTGTTTTCTAAGTTGAGTTGTTGTCAAAGTTGAGTTGTTGTTAAAAGTTTAGTTATGTTCAAAGTTGAGTTGTGTTCAGAATTGAATTATTTTCAGAGTTGAGTTGTGTTCAGAATTGAATTGTTTTAAAAGTTAAGTTGTGTGCAAAATTGAATTGTTCTAAAAGTTTATTTCTGTTCAAAGTAGAGTTTTGCTTTTAAAAGTTGAGTTGTGTTCAAAATTGAGCTGTTGTGAAAGTTGAGATGTTTTCAAAGTTGAATTGTTTTCAGAGTTGAGTTGTTTTCAAAGTTCAGTTGTTGTTAAATTTGAGTCTACATTCTTGCGGTATTCAAAGTTGACTTTATTCAAAGTTAAGTTGTTTTCAAAAATTTCAATTCCCAAAATTGCTTAAATACGAGTTTAGCGTTTTGTGCTTTAACTACACACAATATACTATATATATAATAACATATTCAATAAATACAGACCCCATTTTCATACTGGCAGTTGGCTCATACTTACAAATATTGGCAGCGGTGGCTCCGGTCAGCTGTGCCGTCATAGTTAGGGGCGTTTGTAGTAGATGGGCTATGTGCGCTTGCGCCTGCGCTTGATTGCTGGCGCTCAACGCCCGTGCGGGATCATACGCAAGTCCGTGTATGTGACGTTGTTGCTGTTGTTGATGTTGATTCTGTTGTTGTTGTTGATGTGATGAGGTGACAAGGTGACTGTGTGACTGCAGCGCTTGGTTGGGTGAATAGTTGTGCGCACCTAGTGCGGCCAGCGTTACCAGGTTCTGCATCGGAATGGATCGAGCTGAGAGTAGTCCATTGCCAACAGTGTTGCTGGGCTGGCCAGACGCATCAGCTGCACCGGCTGTGGCATGGTTGGCGGCGGCGGCGGCAGCGGCCGATAGAGATGCGGTTGTGACACTGTGATCCGGTGGGAAATTTAGTCCTGATATTTCCATTTTATGTGTTTTTTTTTTTTGGTTTTTAGTTTATCAAAGGTTTTTGTATTTTGGATTTTTGGTTTTTGTTTGAATTTGTTTGTGGTTTTATGATTTTGATTTTGATTAAGGTTTTTTTTTTTGGTTTTTTTGTATTTGTACATGACCACAGAGTCAATCATAGAGACATACCAAAAAATGTTCAACGAATATAAAAATAAACATAGAAGAAAACACACACCCAATTGGATTATTTACATTTACAAAAAAATTATTTTTGCTATTTGCAGTTTAAGTTGTAAAATTTCAAAAAGAACAAAATAATATTTTATAAAACAAATACATATAAACATACATACAAAGTGTACGGGTATAAAAAAAATCATACAAAAATATATGCTACTTACATACATAAATAAACTGAGTAATTATAGATTAATGTAAATAATTAATGAAAGGAAAATGCATCAAAATAAGCTAGTATCGAGAAAATTACAATAAAATTACAATAAAAATACAATAAAAATAAATTACAGAAAAAAAAGTTTGCGAAAATGCAATGCGGTTAGCAATAACAACAACAAATACAAACTAAGCTAAATGAGAACTTCAATGCGAGAATTAAAAGTGCTGCGGCGAAATCGAGACTTTGCGGTAACAAAGCGCTTATTAATTTGCGCAACAGCGAATTATTTGTCACGCCAGACGCTCGTCACAGCGTAAGCGGTGTGTGTGTGTATTAATTAATGACATTATTGTATTAGCGTTTAAGTCAGCGGCAATGCATTGTGGTACCACTACGGCGGGTCAGAGTTAATAAATAATATATGTATGTATGCACTTATACATAGACAAAATTCAAACTAATTGCATGCTTTAATTGTAGCGAAACATTGAGGATAGAGATTTATGTTTTAAAAGTAATGAAATCAGAAGAGAAATGAGATAGAACGCGAAGAGTGGGTGGGCGTGTGGGCGAAGTCGGGCGATGAGCACGAGTGTGGTGGCGTAAACTGCGCTGCTAATGTTAGAAGATATGTATATTGATGTGAGAGAATATGTATAACATATATACCTAATTTATACGAGTATATATGTATCAACAAAAATGTTACGATGTTTGTTCGAAAAGAATGATGAACTCTCATATTTCGCATGACACATGGACAAATTCCACATATTGTTGGTGTATTAGACTTGTCACAGTCATAGCACTAGTTCAGTGCACAGATTTCGTGATTATCGTGTAACTATTGCAAAACAGCTGTCATTAATTCGCCAAAATAACAGAATATGTCTATATATTACTATTCACGGCAACCATTATAATAAATTACGGTTTTTTTTTTAAAGGAACGCTACAAAAGCAGACCGATAAGGACTTTTTTCAGTAGGTTAGGCAGTGTCGAGAATATTTCTGCTGCCAGCGCATCAATTGAGGAAGACCGCAATTAGTCTCTCACACGTAATTCTCAAACGTTAGGCATCTCTGGACGTCATTTTGGCGAATTTTGCAAAAAGATCTTGGCCTATATACTTACAAGATGAAATTGTTTCAAGAACTGAAGTCGTTTAAAAACCAGAATCGTCGTGTGTTCGTGAATTGGTGGTTCTAACAGTTCTGTGCCATCAGCTAAACAGCGAGTGTCACAATCAAATTATTGGAAACCAAGTTTGATGAACGCGTTATGTCACGAAATGTCTCAGTCATTTGGTGGCCTCGGTCGTGTGATTTGAGGCTGTTAGACCATTTTCTGTGGGGATACGTCAAGTCTATGGTCTATGCCAACAAACCGTCAACGTTTGATAAGCTTTGTAAAAATATCGAATGTGAAATGGCAGCAGTATCGCGCGATTTTTGAATGGAATATAGGATTTGGCGTTTGGACTTCTGCAAGCGTGCCCGTGGTGGTCATCCAAAAGAAATCAAGTTCTATAAATAATGTCATAGAATGTACTTTTATAGCAATTTTCTTGAATTTATGAACCTAGCGTCTGCAATTTTTAATTCACCATACTTTTCAAACAAACCTCGTCTTTATTACTCACCACAACAAAAAAAAAAAAAAAGAGAAAAAAAAGAAACAGAGCAAATAATTATTTCTGTGTGGCTTATGGTTTAATTGTAATCGCCGCAATTAACTACACACACATATGCATACATACATATACACAAGACATATGTATAGAAAAAAGGTGTATACTTTTTTCCAATAAAGCTGCTTTCAATTACCAAGTGTTTGCCAAAAGTCTGAGTGTAACAACAGTTGGGGGAAGTATTTATAGTCGGTGTTTCTTTAGTAGACAGCTAAAATTATTTTGTTTTTTAAAATAAATAAAATTTGTTATATTTATTATATATATTTATTATGAAAGTTATAATTATTTATAGCTTTAGGAGTCATTCTAGTAGTTATACATTTAATTATTATTTAAAAAATATTACAAACATTTTTTTTGTAATGATTATGTGAGGAGTTATCATGTCAACGCGGACGCATGCTTTTTCCGATGGGTTATCGGAAATGGAGTCGCAATGGCCGAGTTTAAAATATTTTCTTTTGGAAAAATTTCAGAATTTCTTTGTCAATAGTGCATATTTGTAACAATAAAAAATTCTAATAAATTATTTAATTTTTTATATGAGAAAAATTGTTGAAAAAAGGCAGCATTTTGCCCGAAACATAAATTACATTTCTAGTATTAAATTTATATGAACCTAAGAAAGGCGTGAGTTTTACATAAGTCAGAACATTAGTTTGTGAAATATATCATTTTGAGTGAATAAACTATATATTATTGTCAAAAACTGATTACAAGAGAATTGCGCATGATGATAAATATTGTTTCTGAAGTGAAAACCTTCGCTCAATGACGAGTTTCGGGACACTGCCATGAAAATCAACCAGCAAGGATTGGTACGCTAAGTTTAGAAGTAGAAATCACCGGAAATATTGAACGCAGTGGATGCTCAAAGGAGGTTGCCACCGACGAAAACAGCAAAAAAGTCCATAAAATAATTTCAGATGATCGTAAAATGAAGTTGTTCGAGATATCAGGCAGTCTCAAGTTATCAACTGAACATGTGCATCATACCATTCTCCAATTCACGAAAATATGTGTGTGGCGAAGCTCTATACAAAGTAGGTACAGCGCGAACTCCCTTTATGATGAAATGTTCAGGCAGAATATTTGCGTCGATATGTGGCAATGGATGAATTATATATAGTTCCACCATTTCACTCCGAAGTCTTATCCCAAAACTCCATGAATCATTCTTCGATCTGAAGCTTAGTGTGTATGTCCTGTCCTTCGATCTCAAAAGAATGCGCGCTGGGGAAAGGTTTTCGTCGAATGAAGAGATGAGGCGCCGAGGCCTATTTTGCAGCAAAGGTCAAATCTTACTACAAAAATAGTATCGAAAAGTTGTAGGGGCGCTATAGTCAGTCTATTACCCTTGCAGAGAACTATGTTCCATAAAAAAAATACGAATTTGGCAAAAATTACGACTCTCACATGGCAAATATAACAAGCAATTGTTACAAAAATTTTCACAATGTTTCCTTAACTAACTAGTAGCATTTTCAAAGATTTTACCTAGGCAGACAGATGGTGGTGTACGGAGATATATACCACATATATACCATCATTTCAATAACCACCATCTGAGTAAAATAACGTTAGTTTTATTAATAGAGGTAAACGAAATTTGGTTTTGACTTTGAGTAACACATTTCTATTGTCCATAAAAAATTTAAATTAAATAAGCACGTGACATTATATTTAGTGCAATAACGAGAACACTAAGAGCCTTCTGATGTCTATAGAACAAAACAAAACGTTTTGCTGATATTTGAGTTTCTATTGCGACTTTCGGAAGCACCACCAATACATAAGCAGTTTGTCGTAAGTATCCTTCAGCTTTATTGTTTCCCATGTGACCCATACTATCTTCCCTGAAAGCTTTCATTCCGCTGTCAGGCTGGCATTTTTTTTTTTTTTTTTTTTTTGAAATTTTTTTATTTTTTTTTTTTTTTTTTTTTTTTTTTTTTTTTTTTTTTAATATTATACATTCAAATAGTCACCTACAAAGCGCTTTCGCAAAG